TCCATGTGCACTTAAGAAGAATGTGTATTCTTCTGCTTTTGGATGGAATGTTCTATATATATCTATTAAGTCCATCTTGTCTAGTGGTTCACTTAAGGCCAACGTTTGCTTGTTGACTTTCTATCTGGATGATTTATCCATTGATGTAAGTGGAGTATTAAAGTTCTCTACTATTATTGTGTTGCTGTCAGTTTCTCCCTTTAGGTCTGTTAATAGTTGCTTTATATAGTTTGGTGCTCCTACATTAGGTGCATATATATTAATAAATGTTATGTTTTCTTGATGGATTGTCCCCTTTATCATTCTATAGTGTCCGTCTTTGTCTCGTGTTATCTTTTTTGGCTTGAAGTCTATTTTGTCTGATATAAGTATGGCTACACTCACTTTCTTTTGGTTGCTACTTGTTTGGAGTATCATCTTCCATCCCTTCACTTTGAGCCTATGTTTCTCTTCAGAGCTGAGATGGATCTCTTGGAGGCAGCATGTTGTTGGATCTTGTTTTTTAATCCATCCAGCCACTCTGTGTCTTTTGATTGGTGAATTCAATCCATTTACATTTAGAGTGATTATTGATATATGAGGGCTTAATACTGCCATTTTATCTTTTGTTTTCTGGTTGCTCTATATTTCCGTTGTTTCTTTTTTCTTGTGTTTCTATCTGCCATTTCATTTTGGTGGTTTTCTGTGATATGTTTCTGTTTACTCTTTTTTTATGTTTTGTAATTCTGCTCTGAATTTTTGTTTTGTGGTTACCGTGAGGTTTGTGTAAAAGATTTCATAGATGAGATAGTCCTTTTTCTGCTGATGGCATCTTATCTTCCTTTGCCTAGGCAGGTTCTGTCCTTTTCTTCTTCCCCTTCTATGTTTTTGTTTTCACAAATTGTCCCTTTTTGTATTTTGAGTTCATTATCAAATTAAAGTGGCTATAGTCATTTTTAATGCTTCCTTTCCCTTTAACCTTTGTGTAATAATTAAGTGTTTACTAATCTATTCTGATATAGAGTTGCAATTTTCTGATTCTGTCTATCTGCTTATCACCTTGCTTAATGCTTTGTATACCTTTGCTTTTTCATTTCAGGTAAGAGAGCTCTTTTCAACATTTCTTGTAAGGCAGGTCTAGTGGCAATGAACTCCTTCAGCTTTTGTTTGGCTGGGAAAGCCTTTCTTTCTCCTTCATATTTGAAAGATATCTTTACTGGATAGAGTATTCTTGGCAGACAGTTTTTTTTAAGTTGATGTTTTAATAGTTTATAACATTGTGAAATTTTTGGTTGTACATTTTTGTTTGTCCATCACCACATGTATGTCTCCCTTCACCCCTTGTGCCCACCCCCTACCCCCATTGCCCCTGGTAACCACAATACAGTTTTCTCTGTCCATGTGTTGGTTTATATTCCACATATGAGTGAGATCATACAGTGTTTGTCTTTCTCTTTCTGGCTTATTTCACTTAACATAATACCCTCCAGGCCCATCCATGTTGTTGCAAATGGGACGATTTTGTCTTTTTTTATGGCTGAGTAGTATTCCATTGTATATATATACCACATCTTCTTGACCCAATCATCAGTCGAGGGACACTTGGCTTGCTTCCACTTCTTGGCTATAGTGAATAATGCTGCAATGAACATAGGGGTGCATAAGCCTCTTTGGATTGTTGATTTCAGGTTCGTTGGATAGATTCCCAGTAGTGGGATCGCTGGATCATAGGGTATTTCTATTTTTAATTCTTTGAGGAATCTCCATACTGTTTTGCATAGAGGCTGCACCAGTTTGCATTCCCACCAGCTGTATATGAGGGTTCCTGTTTCTCCACATCCTCTCCAACATTTGTTGTTTTTTGTCTTGGTGATTATAGCCATTCTAATGGGCGTGAGGTGATATCTTAGTGTTGTTTTGATTTGCATTTCCCTGATGATTAGTGATGTTGAACATCTTTTCATGTGCATATTGGCCATCTGTGTATCTTCTTTGGAGAAGTGTCTGTTCATTTCCTCTGCCCATTTTTTGATCGGGTTGTTTGTTTTTTTGTTGTTCAGTTGTGTGAGTTCTTTATCTATTATGGAGATTAACCCCTTGTCAGATATGTTTTGCAAATATTTTCTCCCAGCTGGTGGGTTGTCTGTTCATCTTGATTCTGGTTTCATTTGTCTTGTAGAAGCTCTTTAATCTGATAAAGTCCCACTTGCTTATTTTTTCTTTAGTTTCCCTAGTCTGGGTAGGCATGTCATCCAAAAAGATTCCTTTATGACCAATGTCAAATAGTGTGTTGCCTATATTTTCTTCTATGAGTTTTATAGTTTCAGGTCTCACCTTCAGGTCTTTGATCCATTTTGAGTTAATTTTTGTGAATGGCAATAGCAGATGGTCCACTTTCATTCTTTTGCATGTGGCTGTCCAGTTTTCCCAACACCATTTATTGAAGAGACTTTCCTTTCTCCATTGTATGTTCTTAGCTCCTTTGTCGAATATTAGCTGTCCATATATGTGTGGTTTTATTTTTGGGCTTTCAATTCTGTTCCATTGATCTGTGTGTTGGCTGACAGTTTTTAATCTTTCAATATTTTGAATATATTATTCCACTCTCTTCTGACCTGTAGAGTTTCTGCTGAGAAATCTGCTTATAGCCTAATGGAGCTTTCCTTGTAGGTCATTGGGTTTTTCTCCCTGGCTGCCTTTAATATTCTTTCTTTATCATTGACTTTTGACAGTTTTAATGTAAGGTGTCTTGGAGAAGGTCTTTTTGCATTGAGATAATTAGGTGTTCTGTTAGCTTCACTTAGTTGTATATCCATTTCCTTCCTTAGGTTTGGGAAATTCTCAGCTCTTATTTCTTTAATTAAGCTCTCTGCTCCCTTCTCCCTCTGGGATACCCATTATCCTTATGTTGCTTTTCCTAATTTAGTCAGATATTTCTCATAGAATTTCTTCATTTTTTTAGTCTTAGTTCTCTCTCCTCTTCCACCTGAATCATTTCTAGATTTATACCTTTGAACTTGCTAATTCTCTGTTCCATATGGTCTGCTCTATTTCCATTGCTTTCTACTTTATTCTTCATCCCATTTATTGAGTTCTTCAGCTTCAGAATTTCTGTTTGGTTCTTTTTCAGAGTTTCAATCTCTTTGGTGAAGTACTTCCTCCATTCATTAATTTTGTTCCTGAGCTCACTGAACTGTCTTTCTGAGTTTTCTTATAGCATGTTGAGTTTCTTCATCACAGCTGTTTTGAATTCTTTATCACTTAGATTGCAGTCTTGCATGACTTCAAGATTGGTTTTTGGAGAACTGTCATTTTCTTTTTGTGATACCGTGTTACTATAATTTTTCATGGTGCTTGATGAGTTTTCCTCTTCTAGCACATTTGTAGTAGCAGACACCTTTCTTATTTAGGTAAGGTTTTGTTTACTTTGATTCTGAACTGGTTCTGGTTGTATTTGAGAGCCAGCATTTCCCTCCACTGCCTCTGTCAGAGGTGTCATCCATGCCCTCGTTGTGCTGTCTGTGCCTCCGAGATTGCTGGTGACTTGCTGTTTCCGGTGTCGCTGTGGTTGCAGGTGTTGCCACCAGGGTCACCAGGCTGGTGAGCACCTCTGCTGCTTCTGTGGTCATCTGGGTTGCAGATTCCCCCACCGTGGCAGGCGGGTGGTGAGAGCCAGGGTCAGGGGCACCTCCACCATGTTGGGGTTGTTGGGTCCACAAGCACCACTGCCATGGGTTGGGGGGCCGGGGTTGCAGGTGCTGCTGCAGCTGGGGGGGACTGGAGTCACAGGCTCTCCTGTTGCCGCTACTTGGCTCTCTCTTGCCTCGGGCACTGCTGTGGCCACGGGGCTGCTACTATGAGTGCTGCCTCTACTACTGCTCCTGGGTTTTCCGGGGGTGCTGGTACTGCTGCTGTAGGAATTCGGGGTTCATGGTGTCCCTGCAGCTGCAGGGCAAGCCAGGGTCACAGGCACCACCGCCACGGCAAGGGGTGGGGTACCTGGGTTGCGGGCACCACTGTGCTTCCTGGAGCCTCTAGTCTTGGGTGCCACCGTGGTTCCTGGAACCTCAGGGCATGGGCACTGTTGCCGCTGCCAGGTGTACCTGGGTCTCAGGTGCAGTCCATGCTGCTGAGAGGGTTGGGGTTGCAGGTGTTGCTATCAGGAAAGGAGGGGCTGGGTCACGGGTGCCACCGCAGTTCCTGGAGCCTCCAGTCCTGTACGTTGCCTCGGTTCCTGGGGCCTTTGTTCATGGGTGCTGTCACAGTTCCTGGAGCCTCTGGTTGTGGGTGCTGCCACAGTTCTTGGAGCCTCTGGTCTTGGGAGCTGCTGCTGCTGCCTCCCTGGTTCCACCGCCTCTGCAAGGTCCAGTCCACCCACCTTTAGATGTTTAGATGTATGGATCTCTCAGGCCTTCTGGTGTTCTGTGCAGAGGATCTTTTGTTAGTCTATGGATATCGTACTGGTTGTCAGTGCCAGTTTCTTGATCTTGGATGCTCTTGGACGTATAAAATAGGCTGGGTGTATATGTATATTGTATATTATATTAAAATGTATATTAAGTTGTAAATAAAGGAACATGATTTATTATTTAATATGTTTAAAATGTAATTCCATATACCTTACCTTTTATTGTGTACCAGCATATGCAAAGTCTTGTAGCACTTTGATTCTGAGACCTCTCTATAGTAATAGAAGCCATCACTTTATTTAATAAATTTGTCCACTGTAGAACCTCAGGGACAGTTGAAGACTTACCTAGGTATTAATTTCATAAAGTATGCAAAGATAAGAAACACTTTTAACCAAGAGTGAGCACAAAAAATAGCTCTGTATTATATTTCTGTGTACAGAGCAGTTGTATGGCACAAAGCAGTTATGTGTTAAGCCCACGAAGTACAGTGTCAGTACCTTAGGGTTTATTTAGAAACATGTGTTTTATGCCTTGAACTATGAAAATTTTAAGTATCAAGATATTTAATTTGATTTTTTAAAATTATTTTATTTTTTTCTTTCCAGATCCAATCCTTCTGTGGAAGTTTTAAACATCTTTTATTAGTGGAAACATTATTTGCTGCAAAATGAAGTCAACATCTTAATTTAAACCAGCATTTCTGTGGTTCTGATTCATCTGCTATGGTTCACGAAGCTTGAGATCTAAGGAGTACAGGGTCTTTTGCGATGACAATATGACTAATAGTAAAGGAAGATCTATTACTAATAAAATAAGTGATGGTCCAAGTAGTGGAGGCGGTTTTGTAGACTGGACTTTAAGCTTAAATACAGTTCAATCTGATAAGTTTTTAAACTTATTGTTGAGTATGGTTCCAGTAATTTACCAGAAAAACCAGGAAGACAGGCACAAAAAAGCAAATGGCATTTGGCAAGATGGATTATCAACTGCAGCACAGACTTTTAGTATTAGATCAGAGCAACACATGGAGTATCACAGTTTCTCAGAGGCGTCTTTTCATGGCAATAACGGGCACACACCATCAAGCTGTAGCCAAAAGTATGATGACTATGCCCCCTACAATTACTGTGACGGAAGGGAGACGTCAGAAACTACTGCCATGTTACAAGATGGAGATACGTCTAGTGATGGTGACGAAGATGCCGTTGTGGAAGTAAACCAAAAATTACCAAAGGAATCCAGTGGTGTCATGGCACTGCAAATACTTGTGCCATTTTTGCTGGCTGGTTTTGGAACAGTTTCAGCTGGCATGGTTTTGGATATAGTCCAGGTGGGTTTTCATCTTTGTCTAACTTCACTGTGTTTGTTGTTTCAAATGCTTTATGTAGGTTACTAATCTCAAACATTTACTTTAGATTTAATTAATCCCTTAGTAAAATGAACTGAGGCTGACTCTGGTAGAGAATCTGCTATTTCTAGGTGTTTTTTTGTTTGTTTCCTTTAGAAGTTATAAGAGAACAGTCTCATTCTGACTGTAAAGTAATTCTTCGTAAAGTATTACAGCAGTAAAGCAACCCTATAATGGGTAAATTAGCTAAATGAAAAACTCAAAAATGTTATATTTAAATACTTATTTATTTTTAAATAAAAATTAATATATACTAATTAAAATGAATTCAAACAATATGGAGTAATAAATAAAAGATTAAAAGTCTTCCCTATTCCTCTTCTCCAAACCAAAACTCTCTTCCCCTCCAGAGGTCACCACTGTTAGAGTTTGTTTGTTGTGCATACCTACAGACTTTTTTCTTTGCTGACACATGTATATATGTGCAGAGGTTTTTTTTCAAAAATAAAAAATGAAATGCTATATATAATTTTATGTAACTTATTTTCATTGCTTAATAATACATCTTGGACATCTTTCAAATTAGTAACAAAGATATTCTGCATTTTAAAATGAGTACTTTATAGTCCATTGTATGTATATACCAAAATTTACTTTATTCATTCTCCCATGCTGGTGATATGATAAATATCCTAATAAATATATTTTTTACACATTTTTACTAATATTTTCATAGGATAGATTTTAAAAATGGGATTGCTGGGTATTAGAATAGGTGTATGTGTTTAAAATTTTATAGATAGCTGTCAAATTGGATTTCAAAAAGTTTGTACCAATTTATACTCCTACCATCAAAATATAAGTATGTTTATTTTTCCATGCCCTTATCAACACTGGATATTCTTGATCTGTTTCATTTTTGCCAATTGATAGGAAAATGTTATCATATTTTAATTAACATTCTTTAATTATTATTAATGTTTAGTGTCTTTTCATGTGTTTATTAGTCATGCTTATTTTTTATGTGAATACTTCTTAATGAATTACTTTTTTGTATCTTTTTTCCATTTCTAAAATGTATATGCTACTTATTGATTTGTAGGAGTTTTTAACATAGTTTGGTTACAAAATTACCTGTTATATAATTATCTTACTAAAGTAGTAAATTGTTAAAATGTGGCATTCTGTTACTGTCAGTTTTTTCATCAATCAGAGAAATATTGGCTCTGGGAAGGTGTTAGATACATTATCCTGTAATGTGTCCTTGTCTTTCATTGTTTGCTCCCTAAAAGAAATCTCAGGTCATTTGTGACTCTAAGACACTTTTCAACAGATAACATTGTTATCAAAATGGAAAACATACATAGATAGAAACAATTTTTCCACTATTAGATGGAGAAAGGATATGAAAAGTACTGTGTAAGTATATTGAATTTCTGAACGGACTATAATACTGAAGAGGGACCAAACCTACCTGTCCACTTGAAATATAGTTGTTTCAAGTTATTACAATAGTATCACAGCTGCTAAAATGAATAAGCTGGTTTTGGTTGATTTTATTTTCTTGATAGACCAGATGTTCTGAAGAAACACTCAACATTTAGCTATAGAATAACATTTATAGGAATGATATGTTAGAGTACAGATTGTTAGGTGGAACATTTACATAGCTCATTGTGTACATTCCTCTGATGTAATGTTTGCTTATTTCTTGATAGTATTTGAGAGAACAGAACATGTATAATTGGAAAAAGTTCCTTTTATGATTTTATGAACTTTAACACCACTAGCCCTAAGGACTTTATAATGTTAAACTTTAGTGTTAAAAATTATAAAAACATAGCATAAATGTTTTGAAAGATTTAATTTGAATGTGCTTTTAAAACTTTTTAATTGTGAAATTTAACACATATAGATTGTAAAAAACAAAAATGTACAGCTCAGTGAATCTTCATGACAAAAACAACCATATAACCATCAACCAGGTCAAGAAATAGAATCTTACCAGTACTTCATTAGTCTTCCTTGTGCTCCCTTCTAGTTGCTACCCTTTCTTCCCCATCACCAAAGGTAATCAATAATCTGATTTTATGATAAGTACTTCTTTGTCTTTATAAGGGTGCATCATTAGACACCATCATTTGGTTTTACTTAATTCTCTTTAAACTTTATGCAATGGAAGTATAGAGAATATAGTCCTTTGTGTCAGGCTTTTTTTGTTCAACATTATGTAAGTTTTATGAAACTGTAGTTTATTTATTTTTATTGCTGTATAGTAATCCATTGGATGAAAATAACACAATTTATCCATTCTACTGTCGATGGACATTGGGATGAATGGTGTTTCCAGACTCTTGGTGCTCATGTACGTGTATTTCTGTTTGGTGTATATGTAGAAATGGAATTTCTGAGTCTTAGGATATGCACACATTTAAATTTAGTATATGTCAAATGGTTTTCCAAAGTGGTTGTAGCAATTTACAGACTAAATAGCAGTATATGAGAGCTCCCATTGCTCTGTAGTCTTATTTATACAAGGTATCAGGAATCTTTAATTTTAGAAATTTTGGCAAATGTGAGGTGGTATCTCATTGTGATTTTAATGGGAATTTCCCTGATGACTAATGATGTTTACTGACCATTCGGACATTACTGGTACAGTTTCTTTGCCCATTTTCCTGTTTGATTGTTTGTCTTTTTCTTATTGATTTGTAGGAGTTATTTGTATATTCTGGATAGTCAAATTAGAATTTTTACTCCAAAGTCTATGCCTTTTTGTAGTAGTGGGAAATACAAATACATAGATTATAACTATAGTGTATGACTGAATATTTAAGTACCTTTAGAGGTAAAAAGTAAGTGCTACAGGAATTCTGTAGAGGTACTCAGAAGACCTGTAGGGATACACAATGCCTGCTTTTACATATTTAAGCTTATCCAAAGGAGTAAGCTTTTGTCCCAAACTAAGCTACTTTTGTGTGCTTGTGCCTTACAACATCCCTTTATTCATTCTGGGCCCCAAATTAAAGAACTTAGTAAAAGATCATGTCAAGCACCAATTAGAGTACAGAATGCACTGCACTGTCTTTTGTAACTGGGAAGAAGAGGTGTACAGCCTACCTCAGATATAACTAGATCAGGGACTTAATTTTATGATACCTTCTGTCTCTCTGTCTGTCACGTCAACTTCTATTTTGTTTGTTGCCCTCATTCTCTCCTATTGCATATAGCTGCTGACAGTGGTGGGGTCATATCCTTTTAGTTTGTTTTACAAAGGGAAAGAATGAGCTATTCTTCCGTCTTCAATTTGGAAAATTTTAGGGCAGAACTCTGCAGTTGGCTTGTCTTTGGTCACATGCTTACCCCTAGGACCACTCGATGTGACTGGGGAGATGTAGTAATGTGCTTAGCCCACTCGAGTTACATTTCTATCTCAGTTCAAGTTACATTTCTATCCCCAGATCAGCAATTTCACCAGAATCATGGGGAATAGGAATTTAACTGCTTCTCAAAAGAGAAGGAGTGGATATTCTTACAAGGAAAATGGAGATGGAAAAGTATGCAAAAGAGACAAGAAAACCTTTAGAGTGGTGATTCCTCGCATGTAAGACTTGATCCCTCTATGGTCTTTCTGTTTATCTGAATCAGTGGCTCTCAAAGTGTGCTCCCTAACCAGCAGTGTCAGCATCATCTGGGAACGTGTTAGATACACAAATTCTGAGGCTCCATCCCAACTCTACTGAATCAGAAACCCTGGGAGTGGGACCCAGCAATCTGTTTTTACAAGTATTCTTGGTGATTTTGATGCAGGCTAAAGTTTGAGAACCACTAATCTAAACTAATCCCAGTTCTCTTCCGACTAGTAAGTGGGGTTGGGTGGGGTAGTTAGGCAACAGGGTATTTTGTCCTACTTAAGTAGGGCCCAGTCCAAAAAACAGCCTAATGCCTTACACAAAGCAGACAAAATTCCTTGTCAAATGAGGGAATGAATTAAAATAAACTCTACCTCTGTTATAAAGATTCCTGAATTTTGATAATCAAACTTAGACTTTTAAATAATAGAATGTCAATACTGGAAATATCCTTAGAAATCACCTAGTTCAAGCTCCTTGTCTTTTCTTCCCTCATTAAAAGTAAACAAATAGTTTTAAATGATTTGCCCAAGAATAAACAGCTGGTAAATGGCAGATCCCTGTCTTGTGGATAAATCCTGTTCTCTGTATAACATGCTGAATGCATACCTTGGATTGTCCATAGACTTAATCTATTATAAGACTCTGTAAAATGAGGTTAGTGTTAGCCACCTATCCATCTAAGAGAAATATAAGTAAATTAAACTAATACCTTTGGAACTTCCAGAAATTCCTGGGTAAATTTATACTTATCATTAGAATATTATTGAAAGCTGATGTCTACAAAACCCTGAGATCCTGTTATATTTTATAAAGACAATATTGTCACAATGGTGAAGAATATTCCTTTGAAATAAATAATAGTATAGCTCTTGAGTATTCCTTATTTTATTACTATACTACCAATGCAGTATGTGTATGTTTTGGAATGCAGATGGAATGATCCAATACCTGAGTTATATTTCTAACCCTACCCTCTAAGTAGAGCTTTTTCTCTAATGTGGAAGTTAGAGAGGTCATAGATAAAAGGGATGCTTTGTTGAAATTTTGTGGACAAAATATCAGGGTTTTAAAAGTGCAAAGAGAAGGTAAGAGGGCGGTATCAATGTTAGACTAATTTTTGTCACCATTTTCTCAATTCACAAAGCTAGCAAGTCATCACTATGTTTGTCCCTCCTTATAAAGCATGGCTAGAGTTTTTATTAAAGATAAAATACCTCTTTTAACATGGCTGTGACCCCAGGAAGGCACTAGCATTCCCTTTGATGTAATGGTTCTGGTTTTTATTTTAAAGTGGACTTCCACTGCAGTAGATGTACTTTTACGTATACCTCCCATTAAGTACAAAAA